ACTATGAAAATAGCAAATTTGACAGGCCAAATTCGACTGTACGACACTCAACTTCTGGAAGAACCAGTAAATGATCTGCTGAGCTTAAATAGGAAGACGTGTATCCGTGACGATTTTGAAGAAACAATTACTTTTTCGGGCAGACTCTTCTGAAGCACCTCCGACGGATGATATGGAAGCAAGGGCATTTAAATGTCAAGAAAAATTCTCAGACTACTAATATGCATTTGATGAGAAAACATAGATAAAGATAAAATCTAGTAAATTTTATCAAATTCATATATATTCTATTCATTCCTATGCTTTTCTAGTAAACTGCTCCATGAGCCATTCTATTCTGTTCTATACAATTATTCATTGTATTGTGTTCAATCTCATTCCGTTCATTTCATTTTGTTTCACTTCCGTCGAATTTAATTCAGTTCACTTTAATTTAATCTAATTATAACGTGTTATAATTTATTATATTACAGTATAGTGCTTTGTACTGTACCCCATCCTATTCCTTTTTATTCCATTCTATTTTGTTACAATATGCTCTATTTTATTTTATTATAGTCTACCATAAGATTTTCTAATCAAATTATATAGGTATTAAAAAAATGTTGTAATATCTTTTATTGTATTATGTTCTATCCTAAACTATTCATTAGTAGTATTTTGCATTCTTTTTACTTTTATATTTTGTTATATTGATTATTATTCTATCGTATTCCATTTTATTCTATTCTAATTTGTTCTATTCTAAACAATTCCGCCATACTCTTTTGAATATTGTATTCTTTTGCATTTTCTTGTAGCCTATCTTATTCGATCCGATTACATTCAATTTTATTCTCCTTTCTCCTATTTTTTAAATCTAATTAGGTTCTATTTTATCCTGTTCCATTTTATTCTATTTCAGTCCTATTGTTTATATTCTATCTTATCAGGCTATATGTCATTCTACTCTATTATGTTCTGCTCTATTCAAAAATATTCCAGCCTTCCATTTTTCTCCTTTGTACTGTTTATTTTATTGAATTGTACTGTAATTCATTGTATTCTATCCTTACCTACCCAATTCTATTCCACTATTTCTTTTGTTATTCTCTAAAATTCTACTTTATACTTTACATTCTATTCGGTTATGGTACACTTTATTATATTAAGTTACGTCTTTTCCATATTGTTTTGTTATATTCAACTCAACTTTACACTATTGTATTATATTATATTTTGTTCTACTTCACTCTATTCTATTTTAATGTATAATAAAGTATTGTATTGCATGATTTAATATTGCATTTATTTTAGGAAAATATATCTGATTATCGGTCTAAGAGATGAATTTGTCTACACCATCTTATGGAGAAGTACTTTACCTCCATTTCATCTACCATTCTGAACTCATCCGTCTCATTTGGATCATTGATAGAGTGGCCACCTCGACAACAAATAGCCGGTGAAGAAGCAACAAGTGTTTCGCCGCCTTTATTGCCTTGTACTGATACATTCTCTTTGGATTCTCTATTCAACTTCACCTCCAGCCTGGCATGATTTGCATAAAGTTCGTCATGTTTCTGCTCCCCTGTGTCCCCTTCCGTCGAAGCCGGTCCGACTCCATCAGACCGACTCGTTCGAACACTGTCAACCAGGTCTACACTGGCAGTTGTGGCGGCTGCGACGGACCAAGAATTGTTCGAAATGGATACCACAACTGCGTCAGTGACCATCTCATTAACCGTGCCTGTCGACAAGCTGACCAGAGGCTGCTGACGAGGTGAGGCACGACGTACACTGGCAGGACTGCTTGTAGTTGCCTCCTCAGAGGCTGTAGTATCCGTGGTGCCAGTCTCTGATCCGGGCGGTGCGGATCTACTTCGCCTCGAGGTTGAAGAGGAGGAGGAGGCTGGAGCATCAAATGTGAATTTGGAAAAGGGCGTGTATCCGAAACCAAGCAAAAGAAACAGAGGGGCTCAGGATAAAAGCAGAAGCTGAAATGTGACATGACATAGAACCTTATTAAGGTAGAAGTGGGTAGACCTCG